TTAGTGTTCTTAAAAGGTTGCCTTTTGTGCCATTTTGAGATTCAGGATGTTCTCTGCGTTGCGTTGCGTCACATGTTCATATTGACTCTTAACGAAACTTTAACAATATCTATCAGTCAATCAGTTATCAAATTATTTCCGTTTTCATTTAAAGTATATCTATTTTCATGTAGTAGCACTTAAATACAAATTCTAAAGTTACATGGTGTTAACAAGTTTGTAATCATACTCTTACTCAAAAATAATCTCTCACAAAAAGGAGTAATTTATTTCGGAGCGGGCCATATGTGTCTAATAATAATCAACTTTGGCAGCTCTTACTGAGGAAAATTTCAGTCGTGTGACTCAAATTATCATGTACTAAATTTTTCATCTTGGAAATATTTTTCCCAGAAATTTGAAATATATTAAACTTAATTGTGTTTTTTTTTCATTAATTATGATGTAGATATATTTGATATAAATTAATAGAGTATATTTTGAGTGTTATTTTCGTCAATTATTTGGTGCCACAATTATTTCGGTTTTCATGATGTGAAATAATTTGAAGTTGTCAAAATTATTCACAAGGGTGTCTCTTAATAAAAAAAAATGTTTTAAAAAAGTTTATTTGACATGTGTTTGTCATTATGACCTTAGCTCTTTCAATTCAAAAGTTAATAAGCTTTTTGTAGATTTTAAAAAATATGCTAGCGGGTAATTGTGTCTACATTTATTTTAAACAATTTGTCAAGTCTTTTAAAACATACTGTTTACCTAACTTTTGATCACACTTCTTTTATTGCTTCATAAAGTTGAAGTATCATATCATTTAAAGTTTTTGCCATTAGTACCGCTACTTTATATTATCCAGTAGAACACACATTGGAGATATTTTCTTTCACTTGTTCCATCTACTCGTTTAATTGCAGATCTTCATTATTGTTAATCAAGATTTATTAAATTGAATAAAGATAACAAACATTCATGAATAAATGATTTTTTACCTAGGTATATATGTACGTAATTCTATATGATCAAGTCGTAGATTGAACATTGATGCAATCTCCGATCAGGAGACTAAAGGGAATTTTTTATAGGAAGCTATATCGTAAATCACCAGCTAATATATAGTTACATAAAATATGTTTATTTCCAGTCTAAATTATATGATATAGTTTTACACAATTTGGAGCTTGCTGCATAATTGTATTCTATCACTATGACAACATTGCCATGACAACATGACGGAGAGAGCCTCATCTGACGATACTACGAATGCTGAAAATGTACAGCTTACATCAAAACTATGCATCAACATAAAATTCCACGCTAAATTAGCTTTTTCTAGCTTGACATTTCGGCAAATCGGGTCAGAAATGAAAACCGCAAACGTATACACAGTGAATGAGTAATGGGCTAAAGAAATATAAATGCCTTAAAGTATTGAGCTTAATATTATATTATCTTGCCAGGTTCACTAACAAATTTATAGATTTCTTTGCTAAATTAAATCAGCGATGATTTAGATTTTTATGAAATAATATTCTGGTAAGTCTATTTTATCTTCGAATTTGTAAAAATTTTGTTGCGTAGTACGATATATGTATTGTGTGATTTAATACAAAATCAATGCTATTTTTCTTATAAGGGTTAGCATATTCAGGGTTAGTAAGAATACCATGCATTCTTTTTGTAAAAATGGTTCGTCTTATCTAAAGCAATTCTACAAATATACATTCTGGGGAAATAAATATGAAATTTTTATTCCAAAATAACATCATAGATAACTGTATAGAGATGGGTAAATGCCAGGGGGGCCATAGATTCTAATGTTATTGAAGTATACTTGTATTATATTTCCATGGAGGATAAAAATATATTTGTTATGTTATGTTTTAGCTGAGTTTTTAAAATGATGTACCTGTAAACATTTGCATAGTGGAAATCTGCAGGGCCAGGGGGGCCATAGAATTGAAGTATACTTGTATTATATTTCCATGGGGGATACAAATATATTTTTTATGTTATGTTTTAGCTGAGTTTTTAAAATGGTGTACCTGTAAACATATGCATAGTGGAAATTGGCTCCCAGTTCTGCAATAGTGCATGGATACTATAAGTACAACTCAGTCAAAGGTTTTCATGTCACCATCAGAAGTGGTGACATATTGTTAAGTCTCCAACTTTTTGTGGATGGCAGTCCACATCTGTAACAAATGGCATGTAGTGACATTTTGCATGGTAATGCCTTGTATCTTTTCTTTTTTCTTTTTTTCTTGTTTGACAGCATAGAAATGTAAACCCTCATATCTACAGAATCCCTATATTTCAAGTCACAACTATGGTACCCTTATATGTCACATCGCATCTATTTAACTCTTATGTGTGTCATAATACCCCTATGGAACCCGTATGTGCCATGTCACATCTCTAGAATCCTAATTTGTCATATATGTGAATTGTGAGATCTTACATGAAGGAATGTAGCATTTGGCTCCCAGTGCATCTGTGGAACGGTGAGGCAGCTTATAACTGTATCAGGTAACGTTGCGAGACATATTTAGTATAGAGGTACTTTCAGGTATTGTGAGCTGTATCTGCTATGCGGAATTATGGGATTTGTATACTGCTGTGATACATTGTGGGTATGGGTATCTTGTGTAGAGCATTGTGGGGTATTGAGACCTGCTTTGCAAAATTATAGCCAATCAAATATCCAACTTATTTTTCCTTTTTAATATTATTATACAAAATACTGAAAATTTATAGGTGTCATGAAAATATGTAGATGTCATGAAAATAATTAGGTGTCATGAAAATATAAAGGTGTTATTTCTGAGTAAACATCATGAATTTACCAAATGTTACTGCAAAGAGGCACAGAGGCATAGAGGCATATATATGTGTTGTATAACTTTACATACAGCATAATAAATATTATATGCTACAAAATGAAAAGATATTGTACGCAACATCATAAATACACATTTTATTCAAAACAAAAAAAAACTATGCAACATTACGAATATCCATGAGGATCTCACTGAAGGTCTCCATATTAAACCATGAAAATGACCTCAATAATTCGTCATTTGTTCATTATTCTCCACTAAGGAGCAATAACTGTATTGTTTAAGGCTCCCCAAAATGTCTAATAAATTAGTAGTTGAAGTTAGATGTTAAGTGCTGGTTATGAAGTTCAGTTGATCTTTTCTGGTAGAGTGAAACCTGTGAAGTGGAACACCTCTATAAGTGGAACACCTCTATAAGTGGAACACCTCTATAAGTGGAACACCTCTATAAGTGGAACACCTCTATAAGTAGAACACCTCTATAAGTGAAACACTTTTCAGAGTTCTAATACCAACTGACTTAATGTTAAATGAACCTCTATAAGTGGAACACCTCCCAAGAGGAACACTTTTAAAAGATACCAAAGGTGTTCTACTTAGAGAGGTTTTAGAAATATTTCATTATATTTCATTTCCTAACTCTCTGAAACGAATAATTGAGTTTTGGTAGGTATGAAGATTATTGTTCTTAAACAGTTGATGAAAACATGATTTGTATATTTTTGGCTGACATTGTCAGTGTATGTTGAGATTTGAATGAACAGATAAAAATTGACACATTTCTAAGTTGTGATTAATATTTGACACATCTGAAAAAGTGATTGACATTTGAAAGTTATAATTGCTATTTGACACATATTTGAAGAAAGTATTGATAATTTGGAGAGTTACTAAAGTTTATTGAAGATATAATTGAGGTTTGGCATTTAATTTTGACAATGTATACAGTTTAGGTTTTCAGTATAGTTCATTGAAGACAGTGATTGACATATGGTCTCTCTGTATCAACATATCTTTATATGTTTATGTTTTAAATTACACAAATATGTGTGATGTACCCAAACAGTCACATAACAGTTGTCTGTGTTAAAGGAATCATAAAGAAAATGGAGTAACTTTTATTTTGAAGAAAAAACAATAAATGTTCAGTAATATTTTTACTGGTCAGGGCAGGAGGGAAATCTAGAATGTAGTTTATTTATTATTGGATATATGTATGTATGTAGAGATTATCCATATTTGTGACATTCAGCCTATCCAGATTTCTTTCTTGCTTCCTGTCCAAAAAACAATATTTTACAAACCTATACTGTACATACCTTATACACGACCAAGTATAGAATAAATTGGAACATATATTGACCTGATCCCCTAGAAGATGTTATCTGACAAGACAAAGAGTATCCACAGTAAAGCAAATTTCATATTCCTTATCTAAACGTGAATAATAGCTTAGTAGAAATTAGTAATTGCAAAAATGAAGCTCTCATCTCTAACTTATCGTAAATGACTATAATGTTAGCATCCTTCTATATTTCTAGACTAATTAAATCATTAGGAAATGTGATGAGAACTAGGAGACTGTTTATTAGAAATATTTAACTTATATATTTTTGTCTTGCCTTTGGGAGACATTTCTTGGATAAAGTTGATGCGAATAACTTAACTGTTGCACCATAGCATTACCAACATCAAAACAACAAACAATATACAGTAATTTTAAACCAATTGTCTTCAATTTCCCAAATCTTGGCTTTTATTTAACACTTTTAAGTTCATGACAACAGATGAAAATTGACAATTCATTACGCAACACCAACTTGCAACATTCCTTATCGCATGATGTTCAATCCCATAATAAAATATAACCCTATTGAAAAACTCCAAACCTGATTGGCTGAAATGATTCTTATAAATCCTACATGACTCATGGGAAATGACATCCCTTGGGTGCGAGGCATTGTTCTATGTCAGACATACTAGTAGTTTACTTGCCAAGCGAGTTCTTCGTCAATTCCGCTATTGATTTTTTTCCGTCTAGGCAAGTTAAAGCGTACAATAAGTCAGCCACAAATGCTTCCCATGCATTCTCCTCACATAAGACCGAGACCTGTTTATCCAGTTAGAAATCCTCACTCCGATATATACCAATGTGTCCTATGAGTGGTAAATGTTTACGATTTTACGTCTTGGAGCAGGCAAGGGAATCTGTAGTAGTGAATGTGGTGGTTTATTCAATGGGTGGGATAGGATGGAGGTAAGAGTATTTCTCTACGAATATTTTCACATTTCTACAGGTTTTATTCATTCTTTTACATACAAGCATTTACTTAGCTTGTTCAGAAATGATTTGAATCAGTGGCTTAGTTAAGTACGAAGCCCTTACAGGAGAGAGTGCTTAAATCTCAGCTATTATGTGTTATCTGGTAGAATTTTCCTCATCAGATGTCTTTTTGTCTCTCAATGGTTTCATTTTATTTCTTCATCGGAAAAATGAGCTTTTGTCACTCGTAGAATTTGCCAGAAGGAAGAACAGAATTAAGACAGTACGTCAGACAGAAATGTCAACATAGTATCGGGAAAAAATTATGTAGTTACTTATCGCTGTTATAACGTGATAGAATAGAGTTATGCAAACACAGAAGTTTGACTTTGTCTCATAAATTATATTAAAGGATACAAAACAGTAACTAATATATGCATTGAATCTCTCCAAATCTGAAATGGACAAGTTAAGTATTTTCCTTGTTGGGAAAAAAACGAGGCAGGAATGAAGATCCCAGGACCTTCTGCCCAAGCAGCCATCTTTGAAACTTCCAGGAATATTGTCAGAATCCATTGAAATGTTTAAACACCTGTGCATAGAGATACATATTTACATATATATATATGTACATAGTTACATATTTACATACATGGTTGTGCGTATTTGTATACCTTGAAACAAATTTCCCTATTAGATTGTTGGCAAATAAATAATGTGCTCTGAAGATGTAAAAACATCCAACTCAGTAAACTGGCTCAGTAAATGGCTTTATGACTTAAATAAATAAATAAATTGTACTGTATTATTAACATCTAATTCTATTTAAAAAATTTTGAAATGCTGAATACCAGTACATATATATTACATGACATTGATCCATCACATTCGCAATTCAGAGTTCAAAAGGTCTTCAGTATTTCTCTCTTTTTTATGTTGTGTTATATTGTTATCAAGTCTCCAATGTTTTTGTGGATGGTGTTTGGGGTTCGGCAGTCGGCTTCTGTAACAAATGGCAGGTGGTGACATTTTGCATGTTAATGCTTTGCCCTCCCTGTTATACATTTGAAACATCTCCCCACCTTGAACCCTTTTAAATAATTCAACTACACTAATTATCTACACTCTAGAATAGAGATAATTCTTTGATATCACCTATATCAGAATATGTATTCATAAAATCCGGACATTTTACTTTCTTCATACAAGCACAGTAAAACCTCACTAAGTGGAACACTAATGAGTGTTCTACCTTGGAGGTGATCTACTCATAGAGAGTTCATTTAACATTAAGTCTTTTTGGACTCTGAAAAGTGTTCTACTGATAGAGGTGTTCTACTTATAAAGGTTCATTTAACATTAAGTCATGTGGTCTTTGGACTCTGAAAAGTGTACCACTAACAGAGGTGTTCTACTTATAGAGGTGTTCTATTTATAGAGGTGTTTCGCTTTACAGGTTTCACTGTAGCTAATTTTATTTCACATTCAAACTTTACATTTGTGATCGGTAAGACCTTTTCAACATAAAAACTGTAACATTATCAATGATAGTAAGAGGGGAGTGTGGATTGTATTTTGAGGCAGGGTAATTCATGGTCAAAGTCTTGATGATATGGTAAGGTCAGTTCTCTGTAATCTTGTGCCTGGGAATACTCTATAATAGCGGAAATAATTCAACGAAAGCCCCTGCATCAAATATCAGCGTCATCATGCTTTAAAATGTATAATAGAGGGACATTTTAATAAATTAGCAAAGAATGAAATAAACAGATATACTGTGAGGATACTTGATTATTTCAAATGTGTAAACACATTCAAATTTTAAAGAGAATTAGAAAAAGTAGAATTTGAAGCTTGGGTCTGGTTTGTAGCAAAGATAATTACACATATTACTACAGAGATAATAGCAGAAACCTTCGCATTTTGGTCTAATGATTTATGAATGAAAAAATGTGAACCTTCTGATTATTGCATCATTTCTAGAAATAACAATGATATCAGGTGGTAATGTAATATTATTTTCTGAATTGGTCTGTTTGTGTGTTGGTTCATCTTTCCTTCCAGTTTTATACAAGAGGAATATCCCCTCCTGATCCCCTCCCAAAAAGTGGGTTTATTTGTTTGATAGGTTTGAGAATGGAAAAGCAATTTACTTTTTCCATTGATGTGGAATATATGGTTTGCTGGATATGCATTTGGAAAGTGATATTTTATTGTTTTGTGCTCATGGGAGTTTGGATATTGTTTGAGAAATTTTGTTTTCAAGATAACAAATGAACCATTCATCTGTTTAACTTGAATATTTTGAGATGCAACGGAGACAAATATGATTAGGTTTTGGGCATGCTGGGTAATTTTTCAAAATTTCAAGATCATGTATTTATTATTATATCTTGGTTACCGCCATAGTTGGCGAGCAATACCTCATTGGTATATTCCGTATTTTACACTCGAAGATAGAACCAGAAACCCCTCCTTGGAGGAGCCCTGTTTTCTTTTATGTGCACAGGTACACAGACATACAGGTACACACCACAGCCTTTATACGAGTCGTGAACCACTCAGTCAAACACCCAGAATTACATAACGCACAAACAAACTTGTCTGAACCGGGAATCGAACCCGGGGCCAAGCGATATTGGTAACCTTGACTCTCTCTGCCACTGAGCCATAGCGGGTGGACTTAGTATGAATGTAGAATATGAATATCACCAGAAGTACAGTTGACAATCGGTTTATTCGAAAATGCTAACAGTTGATGATTTGATTATTTCATAAAATGTTCCAAGAATAGAATGATGAGACATTATAAGGGTAAAATAATGCTGGATTAGATCAGTGCTAAATTGAGAGATTTCTGAAGTGATGCAAATAAAATTAACAATGCAGTAACCTACATTGACATATAATGCTCTTTTATCGTAAAATGTCATGACCCCACAGTGTCTGGTAGCCATACCTTCCAGTCCCAGTGCACATCAAGTCCTGACGTCTAATGGCTTTTTGATAGTTCTAGCTAGTTAATTTGTAAATTTCACCTTCATGACAAGAATCGTGACAGTCAAATTCTACTTGGATTATAATAATCGGGCAAGGCTGTCAAAATTGGCTAGCTTCTAACGTGTAGTTGTCACAACAGATTTCAAGTGTTTGTCACAGCAGTTCCAGTCTGATGACCCTGCCATACAAGATATGGTCAATCTTACAGTCAGACTTTAATATTTTAGAGATAAAGGTCAAGGTCATTTTGTTGGTCATTCTTAATATTTTAAAGATTAAGTTCAAGGTCAATCTGTGGGTCACACTTAATATTTTAAAGATAAAGTTAAGAGGAGGGAAAGCCCCAGAGTTTCAAGATGACAGACATAATTACCTCTCTTGCTTACCACCTTCGTTCGTTCGAATTTTCATCGGCTAGTTATCAAATACTACACTTCGATGGGATGTTATAATTGATATAGGCATATTCCGTACACCTTTCTTTATCTTGATGTGAAATGAGAAGCTATGATATTGGTTAACACGCCAGAAATGAACATAATATTATTCGAAGCGTATTTCGAAAATTTTGAAACCGCCATTGATGACGTCATTTGTTTGTCGACTTTTGACCAATCAGCGACCGTGTCATCTCAATACAGATTTACATTATAAGCGTATGTCATCTTTGAACCCTGGTGTTTCTCCCCCTCTGGATAAAGTTCAAAGTCAATCTGTGGGTCACACTTAATATTTTAGAGATTCAAGGTCAATCTGTGGGTCACACTTAATATTTTAGAGTAAAGTTCAAGGTCATTCTGTTGGTCATGCTTAATATTTTAAAGATAAAGTTCAAAGTCAATCTGTTGGTCACACTTAATAATTTAGAGATAAAGTTCAATGTCAATCTGTTGTTCACAATTAATAGTAAAGAGATAAAGTTCAAGGTCATTTTATTGGTCATGCTTAATATTTTAAAGATAAAGTTCAAGGTCAATATGTTGGTTACGCTTAATATTTAAAGATAAAGTTCAAGGTCATTCTGTTGGTCATGCTTAATATTTTAGAGATAAAGTTCAAGGTCAATCTGTTGGTCACCCTTAATATTTTAAGGATAAAGTTGAAGGTCAATCTGTTGGTCACCCTTAATATTTTAGAGATAAAGTTCAAGGTCAATCTGTTGGTCACGCTTGATATTTTAGAGATTCAAGGTCAAAAAAACGAATCATTTGTTTGATTTGCTTTCAAGCTTGATTGAGCTGCTTTATTTTCTTGAATATTTATACAAATTTTAACTTAACATGCAATATTTTATTTGTTGTTTTATTAATAGTACCAATGCACTATTTCTTGATATTAACATGTCACCCTTTATGTGACATTGTTACGGGTGATCCAATTAGGTGACCTGATAGACATGCCTGATGGTAATCTCTTCTGATCTGTTGCTCTTTTAAATGTCACATAGTTATTTTTAAGACTGAGGTAATTTATGGTACGTCTTACTTGGAGATACTAACCTTAATCTACAAAGTATAGATTATCTCATTCTTTTAAAGTTGAATATTTTATCATAGATGTACAGTACTTCACTATTTTCTGTTCTCGATTTTGTATATTGTTTTAATGAAATGTGACAATCAGTTGCAGAAAATGGCACTTATGATGCAAATATCCAGGAAAATTGTTTTATTCCATATTCTAATAAGATGAAGAATCCAGACAAAATATCAGTGTCTCTTTCAACATATAATCTGAACATTGGGGGTATATAATAATAATAATTATTTATCCAAGCTTCTATATGTTAGGAGGTAAGGCTGAGATAAGAGTTTAAAAATGAATTTGTAGAGGAAATAAAACTATATTTAGTGAGATGTACCTTATTTAATGTGGACCATCTGTAGTATTTAACACATATAACTCCCAAATGTTTTTGTGCCATTGCATTTGAAAACATTTTATAATTGATCGAGAATGTATAAAAGTTCTGGTAAAAATCATTATATGAACAC